CATGGTGCTAATATGCTACTAATACCTTTTCTCAAGAAGATTTATTGCAGGGTAGGACCCTATGTGAAACTACATGTGAAAATCTCTGGGGCGCCCAAACTTGTTCTGCCTGTTCCTCTTTCCACAGTGAGTCCTTTCCAGATCTGGGGGTTTGGAGCCACCATGAACTCATGTTTAGGGGCCTTTTGGAAAACAAGGACAGTACACGTGACTAAGTCCTCTTTTTCTGGTGTCATGTGAATAACCACCTCCACCACACACACGGCACACAGCAGGGTGTCACTGCAGAAGACTTGCCAGCATTCCCAAAGAAGGATTTGGCAAGCTGTACTTTGTTTGATTTCTGGCAATATGTTTTTTTTTTTGAAATAGGTTTCATAAAAGCCTACCTTGTAGAGCATTTCAGCAAAGAAAACTGCTTTTGTGCTTCTTTAACGGGAAACTGCAGCAACGTACCAGGTGTGCAGTCTGCATCAGAAATGTTCAGAAGTCAAAAGCAAAGGACATTTAATCCTGACCAAGCAGACTAAACATTTGGTATGAAAGCTGCAGAATGTTCAAGATAACAATAATGTACTCTGCGTGTTGCAGTATATCTCCTCTAGCGGTTGGAGTCCAAAAAGGTCACATCAACCATGACTGAAGAAAGAAAGGAAAACACTCAGCAAGATGAATATTGCTCAGAGAATTAATTTTCCCATACCTTCTTCCACAGCAGGGTCACAAGCAATTAAGAATCCTCATAGTGGGAACACTTCCACTGACAGACTTGCCTCTCACTCACAATTTTTTCCATATTTCTTCCTTTGGGCAGGTGGTTGATCGTGATCCAACAAAAATCATTTTTATTTGCAAATTAACCTGGAAATTAAGTTTTCTCAGACAAAAGGTTGAAGTGTTCTTCCCTTCTATACTTCACACGTCGTATGGGGTGAGCTGATCAGCACCTTCCTGTCCACTCCTGTCCACTTCTGGCAAGCTACAGGAAAAAAACAGTTAAAGCATTTATGTTAATATTTACTCAATAAAGCAGGAGCTTGTGAGCAATGGACTGAGAAGCAAAAAAGAGAACACGTGGGGAATACCTTCCTGATCTTAAACGAAACAGAGCTGACAACTTTCACATCAGGGTATTTATTTTTATATTTATGTGGTCCTAAATGTTTGTCTGATTCCATTTCTTTTTGCAATTCCAGATAAATATCTGAGATTCTGGAAAAGAGAAAGAGTCATTGTGTTGGAAGAAGTGACAGTGGTAACATAATGTCTGAGCCATACTTACCAGGGAATTGGGATATTTTCCATTTAACTTAAAGATTCACTTAAGGGATCATGTACACCACTGTAGATGTCTGATTGGGGGCACAAACAGTGTCCCACGGGACCTGCATGTTCCTCTGCATGCTTGGTTACAGTGACTGTTTGAAGACATGGCATGTGCTTTCCACCTCACATATCTGTTCAGGTTTTTATATCGTGCCATTGACATGCTGTCTGAATGTTTCTTTGCTTGTGTTACCCATTTGAAGTGCCATTTTATCTATGGGTGTCTGATAGCACAATCATTTATGTACAGTTGACTGCATTTATTTGTAGCATGACTTAAATGGATGCACCTGCAAGTCTACATAAAAAATCACCTCAGCCTATGAACTAGAATGTGAAGGAAAGAAACAGAACACACATTCCAGTGTTATTTCTCATTCCTTTGGCTTTCTTTCAATGTATTTTTGTCTTCTCAAAGAAGAAAGAGGATTTCGTTTTTATGCAGGGCTATTGCATAAATCATATGCATATCGTGTGGATACCATAGACATCACTTTTTAAGACAAGCAGATTTTTAATGTTCTTCTAAGGAAATTTACATGTGTGTATGTATATGCACATTTATCTTTCTACCCAGCTCCCCCCCCTCCCCCGTTTTCTGCCATGTGAATGCTCCAAAGCAATCATTCATTTTTAATTTCATCAAGACAGGGCCGTCTGCTGTGTCCTGCTGGCACTCCAGGCTGTCCTCAGCCTCCAACAAAGCCCTCAATCTCCACACTGGCTCCCTCCCGCACAGTATCCCAGCCCTGATGCACCTGCAATTCTTCCACCTTATTTTCCTCTGACTTGCAAGGAAGGCTCCTTGGCACCTCCAAGACCCCCAGAAAGGGTCTGTGCCTGGCAGCCCCCCACTGAGTGAAGCAGGGCCGCTGCAAGTGAAGCTGCACAAAACACCCCACGTGGGAAGAGCAGAGGAAAATCCAAAATCCTCCTTCCTCTTCCCAGTGAGGGGAAGATGATTGCCAAATAAATTGCTTTTAAATCAGTTGATTCAGAAAACACCTTGTATGCAAAATTAATTGTGAGCAGTGACAGCAGCTTTCCTGTTTGAAGTGTCCTGGGATTTTTAGAGGTTGCCATGAAACAGCTTAGCATGAGTGAAAGTGGTGGAATTGGGGTCCTAAACTCTTTGGGGTGAAATAGGTGTGTATCTTTTAGAGAAGGTGCTTTCCACACCAATACAGCATTTGCCATATTTGCCATATTTTGGTTTAAAACCTTGTAGTGATGCCAAACCCTGAAACCCTGTTTTCTGGCAGTGTGTTGAGTGCCTCTTGGAAAGGGTGGCTACATCAAAGGCTTCCCAAAGCGGCATCCCTTGATGGCCACAGCAGCTGTACTTTATGGAGAAATGTCTTGTCTGGTTCAAAGGAACATCACAACTTTGCTGCTGCTTTGGGAAGTTACTGTTGTGCCTTTATTTCATAGAATCATAGAATATCTCAAGTTGGAAGGCACACAAGGATCACTGAGTCCAACTCTCTGCTCCTTGCAGGACCACCTAAAACTAAACTACATGACTATGATCATTGTCCAGATGCACCTGAAACTCTGACAGTCCTGGTGCAATGACCCTGAGGAGGCCCTGAGGAGCCTGTTCAAGTGACTGACCATCCCCTCAGTGAAGAACCTTTTCCAATGGCCAGGCTGAACTTCCCCTGACAGCTTCATTCCATTTCCTCCTGTCCTATCGCTGGTCACCAGTGAGTGGAGATCAGCACCTCCCCCTCCACTGACCCTCTTGAGGAAGCTGTAGACTGCAATGAGGCAACCCCTTGGCCTTCTCTTCTCCAAGCTGAACAAACCAAGTAACCTCAGCCTTTTGGCTGCCAGGGCACACTGCTGACTCTTATTCAACTTGCCACCAACCCAAACCCCCAGATCTCTTTCTGAGGGGCTGCTCTCCAGCCTCTCATCCCTTATTTTCTATGTGTAACCAGGATTACCCTGTCCCAGTTGGAGAATCCAGCACTTGCTCTTGTTAACTTACATACAGTTGGTAATTGCTCAACTCTAGCCTATCCAGATCTCTCTGTAAAGCCTCTCTATCCTCGAGGGACTCCACAGTCCTTCCTAGTCCAGTATTACCTGCAAACTTACTTAAGGTACATATGACTCATATGTCCAGGTCACTTATAAAAACATTAAAGAGCATTGGCCCTAAACTGAACTCTGGGGAACCCCACTGGTGACTGGCTGCCAGACTGATGTAACTCCATATACTATAACCCTTTGAGGCAATTACTCACTCAACATATTATGGACTTCTGTAGCTGTGTGCAGGACATTTTGTCCAGCAGGATTCCATGAAAGACAGCATCAAAAGCTTTTGATTTCTGGTAGTGTTCTTGTATTTATTTCTGGGGGGCTTAACAGTGACCCCAGGATAAAGCACCCATGACTCAGTTGGAAAGGAATCACAGGAAAACCCAACAGGGCTCACAAATCACAACAATTTCTGTCTGCTTACCAAGGAAATAAGCACCCTAAGACTATTGTGGTTGTTGAATTAAGATGCTGTAATAGCTCCTGCAAAGAGGTGTACTACATGAATCATTAAAATCACTGAAAAGATAAAACCAAGGAAAGAAAACTGGGGATAACACTGACCTCAAATAATTTCTCTGTCTTGTTTCCACCTAATGAAATGACAAAAGGATTGTCCTGATAACTCAGGTGTTGCTCACACATTCTGATTTTCTTCCTGCTGGAGGGATTATGTATGGGTGGAGGTGATGAGACCCGGGTCAGCTCAGCACACAGAAAAGGAGTCTCACTGCTGTTTTCAACAACCTGGGGGAGGCTGTCCTGGAGCAATGCAGTCAATGGTGAGAAGCAGCAAACACAAGCTGAGCAGCAGAAATTGCCACAAAATCCTTGCAACTGGCCCATGTGGACCAAGGGAAGAGGCTCGGATACTAAGGACAGAGTTAAAAGAGTGATTATTTCATTCATGTACATGAGGCATCCCAGTCAAATTGGGGCACCAGAATGTGGTTTCAGAACACACAGCTCTGATACCTTTCAAGCATTCAGATACATCATGATTTGATCACTCACTACTTAACACACAAATTACTACTGCAAAGCAGCTATAATTCTACAGTGTTATCATCCATCTGCTTCTTTCTTGACTAGACATCCCTGGAGTTGGTCTTGCTACAGTTAGAATCATGCAATCAACCAGGTTGGAAAAGGCCTTTAAAATCACAAAGTCCATTACCTCAGGACTGCCAAGTCCACGACTAAGCCGTATCATTGAGGGCCTCATCCACACAGTTTCTGAACACTTCCAGGGACAGTGATTCCACCAGTGCCCTGGGCAGCCTGTTCCAATGCCTGAGCACCCTTTTGGTGAAGATTTTTTTCCTAATACCCAATCTAAACCTCCCCTGGCGCAGCTTGAGGCCGTTACCTCTTGTCCTATTGCTTGTTACTTGGGGGAAGAGACTGACCCTCACCTCACTACACCCTCCAACCTGGCCTTGAGCGCGCAACCAGCAGCAAGGGCTGGGGGACAGCGACGTCCTCTGCCTCCCGGCGGGGCAGCAGCACGCATCCACCTCGCCTGGAGGCAGCGGGCGACGCGATCCCCCGCCTCGCACCGCCCCTCGCACCGCCCGGCCCGGCCCGGGACCCCCCTTTCCCCGCCCGCCCCGGGGCGGTGCCGCGCTGATGTCAGGGCGCGGGAGGCGGTGGCGGTGCCGGTGGTGCGGGCATGGCGGTGTCGCTGCGGCTGCTGCCGCTCTGCGCGATGCTGCTGCTGCCGCTGCCCCTGCCCGGGGCTCCGCGCAGGCCGCCGCGCTGCGGGCCGCCCTGCAGCTGCTGGCGAGAGTCGGCGCTGTGCGTCGGGGCAGCGGGGGCCCCCCGCGGGCTGCCCGCCGGCCTGGGGTCCTTGTGAGTGCGGGGCAAGGAGCGGGGAGAGAGGTGAGGCGGTGTTGGATGCGGGGCGGTCCCGCTTCATGGGTGGTTTCTCTCCTGACAGGAGCCTGGTAAACGGGACGTTCGCCGAAGTCAAGGACAGGATGTTTTCCCACCTGCCCTCCCTGCAGCTGCTGTAAGTATGGCACTGGAAAGGGCAGCGGCCAGCTAGCACTTTGTCTGCGCCTCCTAAACTGAGTTACGGGTGCCCTTGTAGGAACGGGGGGGAAACAGGGACGTTCCCAGCTTGTGCAGCATCCCGTGATGTAGCTGCTGCTTCATAACAGAGGGATGCATTTTCCGTTCATAAACCACTTCATAAAATGTGTGCTTAGTTGCTGAAGGAGGACAAAATGTTTTATGATACCCTGAGTTCCCTGTTATATAAACCCTCCCACGCCACCAGCTTTAATAAGTTTATAGTGCTGAGTTTTCATGTGGTGCCTCACTGGCTCACTTTGTGCCCAGGAGTCTCACATTGGCTCTGGGACGTTGCAGGAGCTACGGGGGTAAGCAGAGGCTGCTGGGACACTCCTTGGAGGAAAGCAAGCCTTTGTGCAAAGCCTCCATGCATGAAGTGCTGGTGGTGTCTGCAGCATGACTCTGAGCTTCGGTGTCCAACTTGGAGGCTTGCCCCTCCAATGGATGCCTTCTGACCTGGTGGGCCTCTGTCCCGGGGGCCAGCAGTCCAGCTCTGGCACTCTGCAGCGCTCCCTCCTTCCTGACCTTGGGCACCTCGCATGGTCATGCCCGTTGCAGTTAGGTGTGTGCCTGCAGCTCGGGCAGCTTACCCAAACTTGCCTTAATTTAGCTGTCCTGGAAGGCAGTAGTGGAAAGGCACAGAGACACAGAGTGCGGTACAATCCCCTTGGGAGCCTGGGTGCCTGTTTCTCTGATAGTTGCTTCATCTGTGCCCTGCGTAGACTGGTTCAGCCTGCCTGTGATGCCCGATACCAGGCAGACCCTCTATACCTCCCACATCAAGGACCGGCTTCCTCCCTAAGGCACACTGCAAAGAAAATTGAAGCAGAAAGATGCGAGGCACCCAGGCTAAGCTCTCACCACAGGGCTAGGTGTTAAAATTGGTCTGAGCAAGAGGTAGTCCCTGAAGGCCTCTGCTAGTGTTACGGTCTGTCTTTGGGCACCCCTCCTCGTTTGACTCAAAGGCCTGTCTCACTATCTGGAGGAGCAGCATCCTATCGAGAAAACTGGGGAGAAGTGGGTGGAGCAAGGAATGCAGGCTTGCACCTTCTTTAGCATGACACCAGTCCCAAACCCAAATGCCTGTGGGCCTTGGGGCCCAGCACAGAGCCCCAGGAAGAGGGTAGAGGGACTTTGCCCACTGGGGAATGGGGGCAACCAGCTGACCTATGCCAGCTGGGAAGGGGTGAACCCAAGGTGGGCTGAGAGAAACCATGGGTGGAAAACTCAAGATGAGGAGAATCTGGCTTGTTTTAGGTAGCGGTACTGGGAAGAGGGAGGAAGAGCACATGAAGGTTATTCCTATTCCTTAGCTGTAGCAGATACTCAGGAGGAGACATTGGGCTGTGTGGGGTGGTGGGGCAGAGGTTGAGAAAATCAGAAGTTGCCATTGTCACTTTATGGGGTAGATCAGGCATGGGAGCCAGAAGGGTTTGGCACCACCACCTTGAGCCCTGACAGATTTTGTTGGTGCAATTTGTGACTTTCCTTCAAGCATGAGAAAAAAGAATGATTAAATGGCACAAGAGATGAGATACATGCATAATTGATCACTTGGGTACTTCCTGTGTCCTCTGTGGCAGTAGCCATGGTAAAAGAGTAACGTAAGGATTTATTTTTAATGGCAGCCTGCATCTTTGTCAGATTTCTTTAGGATAATTTAGCAAGTATTTGTCTAGCATTAGCATAATAACCAAGGATCACAGGGAAAGTTTGCATTTCATGTTCATTAGTCTTCTAAATTAATTTTAGTAAAATGCCTAAAACCAGACAAAAAGGGGATTAATAAGTTTCTCTAATAAAGTGATTAATGTAGACATATTCACTTGGAAAATTCATAGATTTTCCAAAAATGACTTCTTTTGAGTAGTGTTTGATTTTTAGACCAAATAAGAAGTTTTGCTATTTCCTGTCCTTTTCAGGGGATCAGATTGTTGAGGGTCAGGTTGCATTTAACCGTGTGGATGGCACAGTGAGCATTTTTCCTGGGGAGCAGTGGACATTAACTAGCATCACATTATGCCTTTGGTTTGTTTTTTCCTTTTAATAGGCCATTCCACAGAGGTTTATATCTGCTACACTGGTGGGGCAATATGGGCTTGAGTCAGTAAGATTAGTTTGGTCATGGGCAATAAACACAACAGGCATAATCCAGCGTGTCAAGTTTTAATGTGCTTTCCTAACGCCTGCTCTCCATTTTCAGCTTGCTAAACTCCAATTCCTTCACTGTTATACGAGATGACGCCTTTGCTGGTCTCTTCCATCTAGAATACCTGTGAGTCTGGTATTTTATGTCTTCCCCTGTCCTTTATAAATCAAGATGTTTTGATAAGTTGCCAAGATTCCTGCTGTGGAGCCTTATTCTTTAGTGTGATTCCCAGGAGCAGGGGGGATGAAGGATTTATGTTCTGCTCCGTGCAAGTGTTCTTTACAGTGGCTCACCCTTTCTCAGAGGTTGCAAGTGGATTTTTAAAGTAAGCCGCGAATGCAAGGTGGCAATCACAGTACACTGAAAGGCATTGGCTTAGCTTTCCAGAACAGTGCCATGGCTGTTGAGGGGCTTTGAACCTTAGGAAAGAGGTGGGAAAGCCTCTCCTGGCTTGCTGGCAGCCTGAAGAGGAGTCGCAGGGTATCTGTGTACTGCCCAGAGCAGCCCTGATTGCCTGGCTCATTCTCCCAACTTTCTTTTCCAACTTCACCTTTTTTCTGCTATCCCATTTAATGCCCGTGGCATTTATCTTTATGTTATAAATAATTATAAATATATGAATATATAAATATATATTTCATATAATATACATTGTTGCAATTATTTATTATTTATATTCATTTAACTCTCCTGTACTTTGTTCACTTACTTGATTTTTACAGTATCCTCATTTCCCAATTTTTATTTTTTTTTTTTAGGTCACCCTTTTTAATTTTTAAAAAAGTATTATCCCTGGTACCAGGTTGTCCTCACTTCATACTCCAAAGGACTGCCATTTCTCTGTGTTACCGGACACGAGCTGGTATGTTTGAAACTTGGAATATGATCTGAAAGAAATTCCTCTTTCCACCCACCTTTTCATGCTGAAAGGTAGCTGTGGAAAACATTTCTGTATTTTTCCAGAGGAAGACCAATGCTCATAAAATTGAGTACAGACAAATAGGTGTTAAAGTGGGATGTATTCAAGTTTACTAGTCTGATACATGTGAAGCAGCCAACACTGGAATTTGCAGACCAAGAAATAGAGGATAATGGTAAATGGTATACTCTAAAATCCATGATTCGGTTATTTTAGAGGATTTTTCAGAAACAGTGAACTCCCTAATCATTCTCTTTTCCGTGTGTCTACAGGGAAAAAAGTAATTTTCAATATGTTTGTAAAAAGGAAGAAAACCATTTTAGTGTCATTTCATGAATTACTTGCTTTCAAGTGCTGATGAGCTTGTCCCAGCAGCATACTTGGCTGTCCTGGTTGCATTGGTGAGTGCAGAGAGACCCCAGTCTGAAAGAAGAAAGTCCTGCCCCTCCTCAGTTGGTCAAAGGGGCAATCTCTTTCCCTGGTTGTCATCTGCAAGCCAGGGAACAGCATGAAGACTGCTAAAGCCATACAGTTTGAGTTTCCTTTAGCAGCAGCTGAACAAGTGGCCTCAGTTAATGGCTGTGGTCACCCTCCCTGCCAAGTCCACAGAGTGCTTCCTATTCCCAGCAAATCACACCTCCACCTTTTGGGAATCGGGTGTGAGTGGCCTTTCTCTGGGCTTTTGTGGCCATGGAGCCAGTAACAGCATTACAGCTTCTGTAACTCGTGTCTCTCAGTTACCGGTGATCAGACCTTACAGAGAATAAGAAAACCTCTCTGACAAACAAGAATAACAAGTTTCTTTATGTACAAAGCTAAGTCTCCAAACAAAGAGCTGCTGGGGAGTGCCTGCAGCAGATACTTATATATATATATATATGTATATAGATAATATACATATTATCTATATGTATATGTCAGAGCTTGCAGCACTGACAATGGCATTCAGTGCACCTTTAAACTACCTGGCTCCATGTACAGTCTGGATAAGACAGGTATAATAAAGATGGTAGTTTTGCTGGTGAACAGAGTGGCATTCCCAGGGTAGCATCCCTTTGAGGCCAGGTTTGGTGACTCAGGAATCCATCAAATTACAGAGTCCCAGCCTAAATTTGCATGATCTTGCTGCAGTGTGTGCAGTGAAGCCGTGTTTATTTGCACAGACTGGTGAGTTGGCACTGTGCAGGGATGCCAGGTGCTGATGAGAGTATCAGGAGGCAGTTTGGCTCTCTGCTTTGTGATTTGAATTCATGTCCCCAGGCAGCCTTGGAACAGTTGAACCTCTTCTGACACCTGTGTACATATAACACTTTCTTATCTGCACCTTTTGCATGCAGTCAGGGTCCCAGTCACTTCATGAAGGATTTTGGCTACATCTAAACAGCAGAACCAAGAGCACATGGCATCTCCCACATAGAATCATAGAATAATTAGGGTTGGAAAGGGCCTTAAGATCATCAAGTTCCAACCCCCTTGCCATGGGCAGGGACACCTCACGCTACACCGTATCACCCAAGGCTTCGTCCAGCCTGGTCTTGAAGACTTCCAGGGATGGAGCATTCACAACCTCCCTGGGCAACCTATTCCAGTGCCTCACCACCTTGACTTTCTTTTGAAGAGACCTTGGCTCATAGCATTTTTCCTCTATTTCTCTGGAAGGCAAACAAGGATGTATAGAAGAAGTGAGACATTTATATCTCGTGAAACCTTTTATAAAGTCAGCATGCAGTTATCTTCATCCAGGTACTGCTGTACCATGCAATATCTTGATGGCCACCTGGCTGCAATTGCTTTGCAGGGCTGATGATGTATTTAGGGATGTGTCCTTGTCCTGGGTTCAGCAGTATGTGACTGCTACTGCTGAACCCAGGACAGTCCTCAAGTGCTCAGGGGTCAAAATGCTCAAATATCAACGCTGTCCTTAAATGCTGACATGCAGTCAGGAGGAGCAGCATGCTCCTGGAATCGATACGTGCCTGTGATTATTCCCCCAGTGCACGGGGCCGTGGCTTGTGTGCAGGTGATCACCCTGCAGAGGTGGTGTCCTGGCTGGAGGGAGCTGCAGCAGGAACAAGACACTGGTCTTGCCATTTACCCAGGCTTTGTATGTGTACGGTTCATGTCACGGCTCTGTGGGTGCCGAGGTGGGACAGTGCGTGCAGCCACAGGAGCTGCCCATCAGAGTGTCTGTCTTCAGCCCAGGCAGCCCTGGCACTTCTGTGCTGCCATGTGGTGTTACAGTGCAGGTGATTTGTGAGAGGAATGTAGGACCTCAGCTTTCAAAGGCCACCTCAGAAACCTCTCCTACACAGGTCTTTTGCCTCACACAACACACCCTGAGAGGATTAACTAACAGAGGAGTAATGTTTTTTGCTATGTCTGTTTTGTTCCTCTTCTGCTGGATGTTTGTGTCACATGCTGCTGTCCCTTTTGCTGCCTGGTACTTTCGTCGTTCCTTGCAGTCCACCGAAGGAAGTGGTAAAGGGAAAACGAGCTCCACAGAGACTTCCCCACCTTTAAGTCTGAAGGGGCTGCCACTGCTGAATTTGGAGGCCATATCTTAAAGCACTGGTGATGCTAATAATAAAGTCTTTTAAAAGACTTTTTTTTGGTTTGTTTTCCTAGATTCATTGAAGGAAATAAAATTGAAACCATTTCAAGAAACGCTTTTCGTGGCCTTCGAGACCTGACTCACCTGTAAGTTATTCACACTAGATAGAGTAATTTCTGCTTGAACAAAACTCTTTAGGGGGAACCACTGTTTTTTCTGCTACAGAGAAAACCTCTCTTCCCCTCCATGCATCAGCTTCCTCCTGCTGTCAGCAGCATGCCTCCCTCAAGTTAAAAACTGGCCTTAAAAGAACTCCTGCTGGGGCAGCCCTGTGGCCTGTTGGGCTGCCTGTGCACACTCACAGCTTGTGCTGAGATGCAGCTGCTGTCCGCGGATGCTGAACCGTTACCACCTTCGCACTGTGTATTAGTGATTATCGGTCCTGGTTCTTCAGCATGCTCAGTGATTGGTCTGTGTGTTGCATTTGCACCTGAGCAATAAAAAAGTTCTGCGTATTTTACTTTTACATGATCAAGCAATCTTCATTCTTGAGTAAGAATAATTAATACGTGCCTGTTCCTTATAACTATTAACAATGTCAGTGGCTGGACAGTTCTAACAACTGTAGGTGAGCTCAGACTTAATGAATCAGCCAGACAACAGAAAGCAGTGGTACTAAGCTCTGACTTTCTTTCCTAGTTCTTTGGCCAATAACCATCTCAAAGCTCTGCCGAGGGATGTCTTCAGTGATTTAGATTCTTTAATTGAACTGTAAGTAATGAGAATCTTTCTACCGTCTGCCTAAATCTGTCATGCTGTTACTCTTGAGTTTTACATTCTGGGTTTATGTGGTGCTGTACCTGATATCTGCACACAAAAGAAGTGTGCCTTTTATTGTGCTAGCTTTCCTAATTTTAAAATTATTTACTTGCTAGACTCCTCTAAAATAACTGCTGTTTCTCAAATCACTCTAGTTTCTCATGCTGAGGTACATAGCTTGCATTACTGTACTTCTTTTTGATGTTTCATATAAATTGTTTTTTAGGGAAAGGGACACAACAAACTTTAAAACTACAATTTCTCTGAACATTTTTCCCTGTTATTGTGCATGCATCCCCTGAGATTATATTAGTGAAAGACATTAATTTAAAAAAGCCACCTTTTTTCTTATTTTTATGTAGTTGTGCCACATTGTTGACTTACTATCAGTGTTGTCTTGTATAATTGAGCTGATAGTCAGCTTCCCCTATTTTTGGCCTAGCCCTCCCAGACAGCAAAGTATAATTGTAAACAACAAAAATTGCCAGGAGATCGAAGAACAAGTACAGTGCTGAAATTGCACATACATTAGTAGGGGAAGGTTAAATTGACCAGACATCAGCAGCGACTCAGAAAATACAAGCCTTACATCTGTATTTTAATGTAACACAGAAATGGTGCCAGCAAGGCCACTCTGTCAACCAGCAGTACTGGAGTAGTTTAGTGAAGGAATGGGATTTATCAGTGTCAGCAGTAGATGGAGGGAAGGAGGCTTGCAGCAGACAACCAGGCTGTCAGGATTTATTACATTACAGTCCTAATCCTATGAAAATTTATAAATGTGAGTGACTTTACACAGGAATCACACATTACTATGATTATATGTGAGCATATTTCCTAGATAGAAACAGTCTTTCCAAGGACAACACTTAGTGAAGGAGAGTTCATAGTAAGAGAGTCCAAATAAAACTGAAGCAACTTTCCTGTTCTCAGTTCAGAAACAATTCAAGGCTGCTCAGGTATTTTTAAATTCAGCATGTCAAGGTGATAACAGTTCTGTAGTATTCGTATTGCTATCAACCTTTTCAAATATGTTTATTTCTGTGTGTTTTTTTAGAGATTTAAGGGGAAATAAATTTGAGTGTGACTGCAAAGCCAAGTGGTTGTTTTTGTGGTTAAAGATGACAAATTCCACTGTTTCTGATGTCCTGTGTATTGGTCCAGCAGAATATCAGGATAAGAAGTTAAATGATGTGACAAGTTTTGATTATGAATGCACCACTACAGGTATTCAGAATGTATATTTCTAAGCACACTACAAATGGTTAAATATCAGAAGTTTAGACTATACCTTTTTGCTTCTGTGAGCATGACCTGGGGGGAGGAAAGGGTTACATACAAAGCACTACCAAGTACAAGAACAAGCATAAAATGGGAAAATTACATTTTGAAGTCAAAGTAAGTACTGAGCTTTTATTTGGATTAAATGATAATGGAAGAAGAGCTCTGACTATTCGTATTCCAAGACTTGATTATGACTCCCTTTGCGTCTTTTCATCACAGAATGCTTTCTGTTATCTGGAATAAGGCCATATAGTTATGGCATATGAGCTTCCCAAAATCTCTGTATTTCACAGAAAGCAATGAAAAGAGGTTTAAATAATGTGGCTATATCTGTTATCTTTATTCAATAGGCCACGATTTAATAGCATCAAAAGTGGTGGCAATACTGCCAGCTGTTCTTCATGGAACTCCATTAAGTTGTGGGAAATGTCCAATAATATTCTCACTACTGTCTTGTTTAGGATCTTGATTTTTATTTTAGGTAATGTAAAGCATGCTAAAGGAAGTGAAGAGAAACTTGCATGTGGTTATGCTCATGTTTTACAACTGAACAGCCACAGTTACCTATCTTTAAATGTAGTCACATCATATAACTGAGTATATCAGCTGTGAGTATTGTTTTTCATCTTTCATGTATATGATGTCAGCACTCTGCCTTTTTTCTGTACAGTAATACCAGAGGCATTCAAGTTCTCATGTCATCAAGTCATCGCTATTAAAAGACAATAGGAAAGTTGATTACTAGTAATGTAAAACGAAGTTTCATGACAGGGAATGGTAATCCAAGGGCAATATGTAAGGGAAAAGAGAATTAACTCAAAATTCAGCAATACATCAGAATAGTAGCAGGTGTAAAGCACGGTAATCTGCTACATAAAGGATGTCAAAACCAGGAGAGCAGTGTAGCTTCGAATGGTACCTAAGGTACGTTCCTGTGTCTGCCAAGTCACTGAGATGCCAAAGTACAAAGTAAGCACCGCTTTATTTCACTGCAGTCTGGTTTAAGCAATTGCACAGCACTAATGGTGCGGATGAGCAAGCCTTATCTACCTAGTCCTCACACCTGTACTGACCTACCTGCCCTCTGTCATCTCTTTGTACCTAGGACCCTAACTATGAGGTTGCAACAGGCAAAATTCACCCTTAATGTTAGTTCCTTGGTCTGCTGTAGGTGAAATTACTTGAAGCATGAATGTAATTTCACATGCTGTAGTTTGCTGGGGAGCTAAGACGTTAACGTGGTGCAAGGATTGCCCAGCTGAGTATTTGTTCAGATGCCATCAGAGGAATGCTCTTGCAGCACAGCATGTAGCTGTAATACACTTCAGATAGCAGAGGGCATTTTCAGACCAGTCATTCTCTGCGAAGGCTGTGTGCCAAACCCCTCTGGCCTGGGGGCAGGCAGCAGTAGGCTTCGCAGAGCTCCAATGCAGAGCGAAGGTGAAGAGTGTGGAAGACATGGATCTCTGGCATCCTTACAAAGTGCCAAGAGGTACATGCAGGAATTACCTGTAAAAGACAAAACAGGTCAGTAGAGCAGAAATGCAGATCTTCAGGAATGTGTCATGTTTAAGCCACCATCATGTCCCCTGCACTGAACTGGAAGTTACCTTGCTCAGGCTATAACCCTCTGGTGTCCTTGGTGGTCTGCGGTATCAGGCCATAGCTGCTTTTTCCTTCTCTGCCTTTGCTTTCCCCAGATCCAAAGGGATCATAAATATGTCTGTATTCATTCCTTGTGGACTGATTAGTCACAGGCTCAGGCTTGTACCATATTCTGTGTGTAGTCTCCTTTCCCAGTCGATGATGAGCAGTGCTCTGCAAACCTCTTTCATTCATGTTAGTCTTCAGTATTGTATTTCCCTCCTTTGCCAGATGTGATGAGACTTTCCATTATTTCTGGTCTCTGGTACCCTGTGTGGAGCATGACTGGTTGTAGGATATGGTAACAAAGCCATCTGCTTGGTAAAACATGCATCTCATTGGCTTCATTGGTTCATTGCATCCACTGAACTGGTACAGTGGTAACAGGAGGAGAAATGGAAAGAGGGGCTGCCAATTAAAAAAACAAATCAAAACAAGACAAAGAACAAAATGCTCCTATTGCTTCTTCACAGAGAAAGCAATTCACAGTGTTGGTGATCTGCCCTTGTAATTCTTTTTGTGATAGCATCCCTCTTTCCCATGTCTCATGGCTTACATCACGGAAGCAGGTCAAGCTGTTTCATTTCGTTTCTTGTTGTTGTCCCATAGCAGTGTGCAAGGGGGCTGTGCTGTGGCTATAAGCACAGTGGGGGACATGTAACTTATGTTCAGGAGGCTGGGAAGTGGGCCTCACGCTCCCACAGTCACTGAGAACAGGTTGTGTGCATGCCTGGGACCTGCTTTGCCCAGGCCTACAGGCAGAGATCATCTCACTGAGCTCTGAAAGCTTGGTTTCCCCTTTCTTTAGCCAGCTGGGATTGTCTTCTCTCTTTCCCCACAGGCTGGGAGGAAGGTAGTTTGCAAATTAAGAGTTACCTGCTCTGTACTCACTCCTGTGTGTGAGATCACCTGTGCTGCTGTGGTGGGAGATGGGAATGGATGGCTAATGCTCCCTGACAGCACACCCAGGTCCTGGTAGAAGTCTCTGCTGTGGGGAACAAAGGATGTGAGGAGAGGGGGACCAAGTCACAGGGTGCAGTTTAGGAGCTGCTGCCCAAACAGATCATTGCTCCCCTTTCTCTTTAGCATCCTCCAGCATTCTCTGGGCACCCCACCTCTGCTCTGCCAGCATCAGCACTCCTGTGTGCTGGGATCAGACAGAGCGGTGGAAGGGAAATCAGTCCAGCAACAAGAGAGCTGGGTCTCTCATCCATGATGGCTAATGCCAGTTCAGCAGCAGGAGCAGACACAGAGTTGGTGGCTGGAGGATGGGGGGACACACCACCCCAGCTCCCAGCCAGCAGAAAGCAGTGTTAAAACCATGACAGGGGGAGTAAAATCATGCATCAGGGTTAGAAAGAGAGGGCAGCAGACTGGGCAGCCAGCAGCACAGGGGAAGCGAAGGCTGCATCCTCTTCCCTCTCCTGTGCAGGCTGATCTAGCTTCAAAGAGAGCAATGTTGGGACACCCCCTCCATGCACACACACCATATTTACTGTACAAGCTCTTTCTAGAATTAAAGCAAGGTATGTGGACCTGCCTGTAAAACTAAGTCAAGCCTCCAAGATGTGAATTGCTGGCAATCCTGATGTGGCAGCATCTCTTTACTGTGTAACCTTGTACATTAGAGTCTCGTATTTCCAGCTGGTGCCAAAACCAACATTTATTGCTTTTTACTGATTATGACTGATTTTGTTAGCCATTTTTACTCATCCAGTGATATAAAGAGCCAAATGACAGGTGCAAGTAAAAATAGCTATGTTAACACTGAATCATTTCTAAATGAGCAGTGGGTATCAACACACAGACTGGTTTGTTTTCATTCACAGGGTCCCTCAGAGTGTTTCACAACTGTTCAGGTTTCAAGAGATGTCTTTTTCAGGATTAGGGGTTTGGGTTTTTGTTTTGTTTTGTTTTGTTTTGGCTTGGTTTTTTTTTTCAAGATTTAAAAAATATTTTGATTCTGAGTGACTGTATCTGCTATTGTTCCATCCTTAGCTGCCTTCCTTGATTTATCAGTTACTTTTACTTTCTGCATACTTCAGTGTCAGCTTTCTCCAGTTCTTTTATTTTTCCCAGTGAGTATGAAGACAACTTTCTTGTTTTCCTACCAGCATTTATGAATCAAGCCCAAACTCTATTTATGATAGTCCCTCGAAGAATGGAGTCTGTCATTTCTTTCGCAGCTGTAGAATCTGCTCTGTTTGTTTAATGGCAGTCATCTGTCTTTATTCTCCAGAAGTGTAACTCCTCAAGGGCAAGGCTTTCAAGCATGCAGAGACAGAGGGTTCTTCATTCAAAAGCAATTATTTCATAATGCAACAAAATGAGGGACTCGAGTGAGGACTTAATTACCATTTCACCAAAATCGCTGGATGCTCAGGCCCTTCCAGCATAGGACTGCATGGTGAAAACATGTAACAAACGGAGCTTGAAACAGCGGTGTGTCGCTCTGCAGAGAAACGCCATCGTAGTGGAAGATGCATTTCCTTTTCTACATATCTGTATCCATACATCACTTCTGCCATGTGCTAGACCCAAGTGCTGGCTTTTCTTTGTCAACTCTGTTATACCGCTTTCTTTTTCTGATAATAATGACCTTCCCCAGCTGTCAGGCCAAAGATCAGACCCAAGTCTCCTCACTTTGCCCCAGACTGGCTCTGTGCTGACTGCTGACTTAGCCCTGGGTGAAGTTTATAGTTAAATCTACAAATGCACTTAAATTTTCAGAAAAAAATCTTGAGTTACACTCTTAGTCTTTACAAGTTACTCCAACTCCTCAGTCTTAGTGTCTAGAGTAAGTCTGCTACTGGGTAGTAATTTGCAGGTTAGTTGTATTTTATGCCTAAACTACTTTAAAATGCCCCATAAAACGTTATGTTAACTGAGTTTTTGATTACTCTATTTTGTCTATGGTTTAGCCATAATGGGGTTATCCCCAGGCAAACTTCAGATACCATTTCACTTTCTGCCTGGTTTAACATAACACAAATTCCTAGTGATTAAATTTACATGACTTAAGAAGTTATTGGACTTCAGCTGGAAGTTGCTGTCTCTTAGCTTGACAGTGATTCTAGCAAGGTGATTTCACTTGACGGGAAAGCACCTTCCAGCTGTGGGGAAAGAGACTTCTCTCTCAATACCCTAATTTCATTAATACCAGCCAGCTTAGATGGAAAATCTGATTTCTGCCACTATTTACCTATTTGATCTCCTTTGCAACTGTATTTTCAGAGAGGACAGTTTATGATACCTAAAGCAGGAGACACTTTCCCCTGTTGCTGCATGCCTCATGTGAGCACTGGAACTTCCATGCTAGTGTTACACAAAATCCAGACTGTTTTGCTGATTTTTCAGTGTAAATCGTTATAATCAGTGACCACTTTGTGTTTCCAGTAAAGATGTATTCTAACTTTTGAAAATGTATGTTTCTAGATTTTGTTGTTCACCAGATTTTGCCCTACCAGTCAGTTTCAGTGGATACATTCAACTCAAAGAATGATGTGTTCGTAGCCATTGCACAGCCCAGCATGGAGAACTGCATGGTGCTGGAGTGGGATCACATTGAAATGAATTTCAGGAGTTATGACAACATCACAGGTATATGAACATCTGGATTCCCATTGTTAATGAACTGTTGGCATTTCACAAGGACAAGATTCATACATGGGACCAGTTGATGGTTTTTGTTCCGAATCTGTGTTGAATTTGGCAGATCAAAGCATGTAATGTTTGGACATCAGTGACCTCATGGAGTAGTGCATCTTGTTAATACATGCACGCTTAACTTCGCTGTGGCACACAAACTAGGCATTTTTTGTCTGATCTTGTAAATGGTTCTGAAGGCACAAACACTTGCTGTGAATGTCACACTGTGGCCCAGCTTAGCACTCACTGCCTGAATCACACTGCGGGTTACAGTGCAAGCTGAGGGAGCCCTTGCTCTTGCTAAAGTGCCTACAAAGTAGAATATAAAAATAGTCTACTGCATGTAGAAGGAAATAGCTCTGAAGGATGCTTTTAGGATGGGCTGGCCAGGAAAGCATGTTTTACAGCTGAAGATGACGCAGAAATACTTAAACTGTGTTTTTACCTAGAGAGATGTGCTGTAAAGCTTTCATGTTTACTTTCCATTTACAAACATGCTGAATTAGCATCGTGGCCAGATTACTCTTCAAACAAAAAGTGCATGTGGATGCTGGGTGATTTTCTAATGCTAACAACCGTTCTGTCCCTAACCAATACTCATGATGCTCAGTCACACCATGACAGCAGGAACAGAGTCTTTAGAGCTGTTACACACTGCCCGATTTCCCAGCTACTTCAGGCTATTGGTTCTGGAGACTCAGGAGCTAAATTTCCCTGTGAACTCTCCTTCCCACATGTTCCTTGTTATGTGTAATTATTTTTTACCTTGCATTTTGGGAAACAAAGAGTGAGCTGCATCCCCATCTGGTCTACAAAGGCAGCAAGCACCTACCTCCTCAGGTCAGCTGTGTGTCACTAGTGAAAGTTTACAAGATGCTACCCCTCCTTCAGGAAATATTGGAAATTAAAATTTTGCCTTTTTTATGTTTCATTATGTTTGGTAGATTAGGAGGAAATATGTACCAGTGAATGAAAGCTGAGAAGTTGATGGCCCAGAGAGAGCTAACAGAGCTCTAGGAAAGCTCTGGAAATGAAATAGATTTTGGTCATTTCCAAGTTGTCTCCCAGTCACCTTTCTGTGAATAATGGGATTAGGAGACACTTCTGCTGGGTACCTGTGTCCTAGCTCCACACCCAGTGTGAATGCCCAGACTTGTTTCTTGAACACCCATTCTGTTCCTAGAAGGTCTGAGCTTGAGCTCTGGACTATGAAATGCAAGTGAGACTTTTGCCAGGGAACATGAACATGTAAAGAGCCTCTTGCAGGGCCTAAAGAGTGTTTTGTAGAGCTCAAGAGCCAGATATGTTCTGTAAATATATGCTTGGCATTCGGATATCTGAATTTAGCCTTTTACGACATGGGCTTATAGAGTTCAGCTAGTTGTCAAGGTTGCCTTCATAGTCAACATGCAGATTATAGGTGTTGCTGTCCTCTGCAAAAGGGGACATATACAGGCCAGGTGAAATATCCTCTAGAGTGCTTTTTGATTAAGTTAGACCAGAAAGAGCCTTGATGATCAGCTCAGCCATTCAAGTCTATGCTGCAGATACCTTACAGTATTTGAGATGGATCCCACTTCTCCTACACTGGGCAGGTGGTAGATCATCCCAGGCTGGCTGTGTTTGTTACTTTTTTGGTGTGGTTGTTGTACAGTGACTTGACATTCTCAAGATAGACCATAACCTGATCTGATCTAATCTGGCAATCACAATATTCCTAAATATTTCTAGTTTAACATAACCTCAGGAATAGTTAATAGAAACAACAGAGTCAGATTTATCTTTTTCATCCCGCTGTCAGGTGATATATCCATGAGATGCATCAATATTTCTATTTGCAGTAGAAAAAAGCTGACTTTGGCCCTCTTAGAGCAAGAAAATTAGACTATATTTCATTCTTCTGGTTAAGCTGGAAAGATAGACATTCCAAGAATAAGAGAATTTCAGATTCCTGCTGAGTCATGAGATAACTCTTGTTATTTTGGAATAACAAAATTCAGGCTTAGTAATTGTTTTGAATATTAGGGTGCATGTGTTTGAACAGAGAAATAAAGGGTATTCTGGGTAAAAATAAGCATTTTAGGGTACATAATACTTGCACACCTTGAGGGCTGTGAAATTTTCAATATTTGAAGTCACCTTTCCAGTTCCTAGGGAGAAAAAAAGCATGAAAAGAAGCTCTGGTGGCATGTAGCAGAAGAGAAAATTATCAGATGGTGCAGATATAAAAAGGCAGAGGGGTGATGTGGTAATCTCTCTGTGGTTTAAAGGGTGCTTTGTACTGTGCTAATGTATGTGCTTTCTTTTTTCTTTGGGCAATAGGTCAGTCCATAGTGGGATGTAAAGCCATTCTTGTTGGTGACCAAGTGTTTGTGGTGGTGGCACAGCTCTTTGGTGGCTCACACATTTACAAGTATGATGAAAGCTGGACAAAGTTTGTCAAATTCCAGGATATTGAAGTATCTCGCATTTCCAAGCCCAATGATATAGAGCTTTTTGAGATAGATAGTGAAATGTTTTTTGTCATAGCAGATAGCTCTAAAGCGGGTTTGTCAACAGTGTACAAGTGGAATAACAAAGGATTTTACTCATACCAGTCCCTTCACGAGTGGTTCAGGGACACTGATGCTGAGTTTCTCGATATAGATGGGAAATCACATCTAATCCTCTCTAGCCGTTCTCAGGTTCCCATTATACTCCAGTGGAACAAAGCTTCCAAAAAGTTTGTTCCACACAGTGAAATCCCCAACATGGAAGATGTCTTGGCTGTGAAGAGTTTCAGGATGCAGGATAATCTGTACATCACACTCACGAGATTCATTGGTGACTCCAGAGTTATGAAATGGAATAGCAAGCAGTTTGTGGAGATACAGGCTCTTCCATCCCGAGGAGCCATGACGCTGCAGCCTTTCTCCTTCAAGAACAATTACTACCTAGCTTTGGGAAGTGACTATACCTTCTCCCAGATTTACCAGTGGGATGGTGAAAAGAAGATTTTCAGATTATTTAAGGAAATCTATGTGCAAGCACCACGGTCTTTCACAGCTGTGTCAACGGATCGAAGAGATTTTTTCTTTGCCTCTAGTTTTAAAGGAAACACTCAAATATTTGAACACATCATCATTGACTTGAGTTTATGAAAAGCTGCTGGAGTGAATTTCATGTGCAATGACATTTATACACAGACAAAACAACAGAGACATTTCCAAAACCAGGGTGCACCTATGGAGTGTGATGACATTTTCTGAACTTTTCAAACTTGCGTATTAATCAGGGATTGCATTTACTTGGTTACTGCATGACATGTTCGTTTTATCCTTTTTCAAAGACATTTTGCAATCTGCAGTCATTCAGAGGAGAGTGCAGTGCATCAGGATTAATGTTGACATCTAAGACGATGGTCTCCATCTTACCCAGAAAACTACGTTGAACTGAACATCTCATAAGGAAAATGAAGACTGACCCATACAAAGCATAGAAATTATCTTGACTCTTAAACAAGCATGTTAGTAATGATTTTAAGACTAGAGCCAGTTCTTCATGATTGCTGATGAATTGCAGAATCAAACAGTAACGTTCCAGAGCAGACTTTATTTTGGTTTCTTGAAGCCTATCTTCAAAATCTGTTTTTGTGGTTATAGTAAGTCTAAGGCGTCATTTTAAATCATTGAAGGTTAAAGGCAAGTCAAAATCTATTGCCATTTTTCTTCCATTATTCACTATTTCAGCAACAAATGTATAATAAGTAGCTCAGCCCACAGTAACTGGGTAGCTAGGAAAGGAACAGTTTGTCACTTCTGGACTGTAAAGTCTTAACATAGAAAACAACAGGTCTGCATGGTGCCATGAATGAATGAACTACAAATTCCATCCACTTTCTGTTTTAATGGGTATTCCAGAAATCTATGTCATTTTGCCCTAATTCATGCTTTTTCTGATGATCCCTCTAGATTCTGGGGTGTTTTAACAAGTATGTTGTGATTTCTCAGTCTAGAAAGCGCAGCTGAAGCTTAGCCTGAAGCGTGCATCTACATTCATGCACTCCATGCTGTAGCTCGTCTGCATGCAGTGAGATGATTTACTCTCCAGTGCTCCCCCAGAACAACTCACAAGCAATATATTGAGGTTTGGGTTATCACAAGCTGTATTGGGGGAATCCTCCTGGCTGAGGTCTAGATATGACTTCAGTATTGCTGAGTCTTTTGAAACCAAGGCAGCAGGAACTGTTTCAGGCTAGAGCTATCCTTGCCTCCAAGAAAGACTTTCCTCTTGGTGACTCCAGGCTTTTTCCAGGTTGCCAACCCACTGAAAGTTAAACTGGAGAATTTAAACACACTGTGCCCTATTGGTGTTTTGGGTGGATACAGACTAAGGCATTCAGTCATCCTAAACAGGGCCGTCTTGGCACATCCTCTGTCAGGATAACAGCAAGTGACTGTTTTCCTTGAAGGGCTCTCTACCATTCTTACCCAGCAAAACTGTGTATCAGAGCCCTTGTTTGTTCACTTACACAGTGTGTTTCTTTGAGTTTTCATACCACTTAGCATACTAGGTTGTTTTACTATGTCTTGCTGCTGAATTGCTGCCTTGGATAAATAGGGAGGCTTTGCATAAAGCAGGCAGAGCAAAAGAAACTGTCCTTTATTCCTTCATACTCACGGCTATCTCTGTGCTGAGTGAGGTTTACTTTTTCTCCTTGGACATGTGAAACATGGCTTATTATTACAAATAGAGATGTTCTTATAGGATGTCCAATGTCCAACATGCCTTCCCCAACTTTTGCCTCATTCCTATGAAATAAAATTATTACTTGTCTGTCAGACCCAACTCATTTTATTCTGTTTTTAAATGACATCTTTGGGTTTTCCCTATAGAGATGCTCATCCTGGTTTTATTTTTTATTACGTTGGCAATTTAGCCTATCCAGCCATCTGAAGTACTGAGCACTGGCCTCCGAATCCCAATGTGGTTTCAGCCCTGGTGGTTCAGTCAGACCAGTAAATGCAAACTAAGCCTCTGCAGTAGGTTTTAGCAATACCTCTCCTAGGATTAAGCTAACAAATCCGACAAAACAGGGATGATTCATATGTTTGCCAGTGAATGAGATTTCTTACCCTGTTCCCAGTTTACTTTTTGAAGTGGGTATGCCTGGCAAGCGGTGTTTCTTCAACCTGTGTCGCGGAAGAATTTGTTACTGCTTTTCTGTTGAGCATGCATGTTTGAGTAAGAGTCAGATGTTCTGATGAGGAGGAGCATTTCTCAGCATGCCAGCACTTTCTTTTACGGCTCGCTGTGGGTAGCATTCCCTCAGCAAGGGGCATCAGGCAGAGCTAAAAAGCTAGTTTAGAGAAACTGGATCCTGGCCATTTTTACTTGAAGGGAAGCAAGAGGATGGTGGAAAAAGGCTTGTGTATCAAATACCAATACCAGGAGATTGTACTGTTTCAAGAGCCAAGGGGATTTTGAGACTTGGCTATAGACTTGAATTAAATTAAAATGGTCTCTGCAGAGACAGGCTTAATAAAGAGGATAGAGTGATCCGTAGGAGTCCAGCTCATTCACATGGGACCAGAAAAAGTAAGTGAGGGAAATTAATTCTGTGGGAGGCTGCCACTTCTGCTGAGTAGCTGAGTTGGTTGGCCAGAAGGGCCAGCTCAGCATCCCTCCTGGCTTCAGGAGGAACTTGGAGTCAGGCACTGTCCCTCCTGTTCTGCTGAGTTAGTACAGGAGGTCAGAGCAGCCAAGAGGGAGGGTAAAAAGCGCCAGCTGATGTAGAAAAGGTTATGGTATGCTTCACAGGATTAAACAAAGGCAGGGGCTCAGAAAACATGTTCTGTGCTTCCTGCTCTCAAGGAAAGGTGCAGGATGCAACCATAACAACAGAAATCACTAAGCATCAAGAATACTGCCTTTCCAAATGCAACAATGGTTTTGTCTCCATGCCCTATATTCTATAATAGAAATTGGTTTGAATAGTAAATTAACTATGCATATACATAATTTATTGAAACTGTTAGACCATAAGGACAGTGAGAAAGGATAAAAGAACATGCCACCTGGTAATTTTTAAGGTATTCTAAAATACATGCAACTATGTAAAGAACAGTAGTTTATATAAGCATAGATTTAATACAATGTGATAGCTACAGTGGGAGCTTTTTAAGGCTGTATATACATTGTGCTTTTTTTAGTAAAGAAGAGCTGATGCAGTCAATGCTACTGACATGTGTATGCACTCTTTCAATATATGAATAAAATGTAGTTAATGAGACTAATAGTGGTGTGCTGTGAGTGTTAAAATACCCATGCGGTGAAGATCCACACTTCCAGAGGGTTGGACAAGGTGGGTGAGTGGGTCCTTGTCTATTTACGATTGGTTTTGGCTTTGAAAACGTGGATGAAGCTCTGCTAAGCTTAGTTAAATTGTTTCTGTGTCTGAGGTAGATCGGACCTCCAAGGGTTGCCGTTCCCTGGCTTTCCCCTTCACTCTTTCCTTGCACCCCATCTAGTGTTAGCAGGTATGTAATGCAGCTATTACTGCGATTTTCGGTTCGTGTTAAACTCGGTTGTTTCTCGCCGCAAATCCAAGAGATCTTAACTTTCAAAATAAATTTCAAAAGATACTTAAGACGCTCCAGTGGGTTTCTTACACGCAGAGTTGGTTAGGAGCCAAGCCCTAAAATCAGTTCCTAGATTTTCAGATCTTTGCAGTGGGATCTCTTAAGATTTGTTAAATTTTACTGAATCACTGGCATTTACTCTGAAATTGCAAAAATAAACATCAACAGTGAATACATGTTATTTAAAGCAACCCTTAAGCGTTATCCGTTGATCCTGCTAGTCACTAGCACAGGGAATAATTCTTTTTGCTTCCTCTTCTTTCTTCAGAAATAGCATAAATCTCTGTAACTAATTGTAAGCTTGTGCAATCAAAGACATGTCTGACATACCATAATGGGATGCAGTTGCTCAGGGATCATTGCTTTCCTTTTAGGTATTCCACCTTTTTATGAGTCAGCAGGCCTTGTGGTGTGGTTCACTGAAACTCCATCACAGCTTCAAATCAACACCATCTCTCCCACCTGCCCTCTCCTGGTTCTTTGCCCTTGCTGGGTGAACATGCTTTTCCACCTGTTATCACCTTCATCCTCAGAAAGTTTCCATTGCTCCTTGAAAGTCACAGCAAGAGATAAAGAGAAAAGCATCCCAAAGAGCAATGTGGGGATGGTCACTGCTCTGCAAATTTCAAGGGGAAGACAGAGTAAGGTCTTTTTGAAAGGTGAAGCTGAAGGCATATGTGTAAGAAACAGCTGTAAGAGTCCCACTCCTCCCCTCTAATTCCTATTCACTCCTGAGCTGCTGCCACTGCTCCCTCTTGGCAGCAATGCTCAGAGACAGGAATTACTGAGACTTGTTTTTTCACACCCTAACCCAGAAGAAATGGAGCTGAACTGCTAACGCTGGGGCTTTCCTACCATCTGGAAGCCAGCCCCTTAACCTCTCTTGCATTCCAGATACAGTCCAGCCTCCTTTTTAACAAACCGCTGGCTAGGTGATCTAATGGGCTTCTAAACTGATCCTCACTGGCACTGTATCCCTCAGGTGAGTCAACCACACCACTCAGCTTGGTGTCATCTCCAGACTTGCTGAAGGTGTACTTGATCCCACCGTTTATGTCACTGATGAAGATACTAAACAGCACTGGTCCTAATCTGGACCCCTGAGAGACACCACTTGTCTCCATCTGGACATTGAGCCATTGACCACTACCCTCTGGAGGGGACCATCCAACCCATTCCTTGTCCACCAGACAGTCCATCCATCAAATCCACATCTCTCCATTTTAGAGAGAAGGATGTTGTGAGGGACTGTGTCAAAGGCCTTACAGAAGTCCAGAGAGATGACATCTGTAGCTCTTACCTTGCATGCTGATGTAGTCACTCCATCATAGAAGGCCACTAGGTTGGTCTTGGGAAGACTGAACAAGAAATTTCTATAGGCATCTCCTTATTCCGGTTTTGCCATGTCAAGGAGGTAGCCTCGATGGAGTTTGGTGGAAAACAAGGAAAGCAGGTGCCAGGAGTTTAATATAAATAATATTGAAGTAGAGATTAGAAAACTAGAGATGGTGAGGCTGTAGGCAAATGTTTAGTTACCCTGAGGGGAACAAATCACATTTTCTAAGCACAGACATAAATCAATGTGAGATCAGGGAATCAGGGAGAACAGAAAATACATTTCTAAATAAAGGAAAGGAATAGGAGTGACAGCATATGAAGTGTGAGTTTACTTAATTGCTGTGTAGAGAAAGTATCTAAGTGCCTTTCCAAGGTCACTCAGAGAATGCAATCCACATCATTTTCCTTTCCAGAGTCACCCTAGTTTATGCTTAATTAAACTATGCAAGCTCTGCACACTCTAGAAAATGCCCTTTTTATTACATTGTACTCAATTTGCATTTCTGAAGGGCATTTGGGAACCATGACATCACCAGAATGAAGGGCTCTGGTAGCATTGCTCCCATTTTTATTCATTTGCAATTGTTGACTTTTATTCCAAAGTTCATTTCTATTTCCTGCTTGGACATTAGCACTGGATTGTACAAGAATGCTCATTTTCCAACTTGAATGGCTGAGTTCTTCTGACTCAGCAGCCCCTTGGGACTGACGCATGCTCCAGCTGCAGGTGTGCCCTGACAATTAATCCTCCATTTCGGTCCTGTGAATGACAGGCCAGTGGGTCAAGAAAGTACTCACCACCCACCACTGGTGAGGTCAGTGTGGATGGAGCCTGGGCTGGCACAAGGAAGGAGGGAGCAGGACTGCTTTCTGCATGTTGATTACTCTCTCTTTTCCATTTCTTTCCATCTCTTTCCATTTTCTTCTCTTCTGGTAAATGGTTATGCCAGTTGCCAGTTTTACAGAAAGCAAAGAACTGATGAGGCCAGGATGGTGCAGATTTACTTGGGATGCTTCGAGAGCGAACTAGAAATAGAAAGGGGAAACAGAAGTTAAATCAGTAACTGTTTAATGGCATCTGCCTACTCTTTGTTTGCAAACTCTGTAGCCCAGGGGTCTCCTTGGATCCCCAGCTTCTCCTGGTTCCTGCTGACAGCATTTTCTAACTCTGCTTTGTATCATTAACATCTGGGGAGAAAACTGCAGGGCTTTCATTTCAGAGGAAGGCTCATTACAATTATCTGTGCCTCTGTCACCTCGGGATCTGATTACAGTGCTGGGGTTGCACCTTGAAATTGTTACAATTAAGACTTAATGAAGTGAGTAACTACAGAGTCCAGCAGTTACTCCCCACCAACCTATTGCATCTGCCTCTATCATAGGAATAGCTACCGCCTGATTTTTATGATTTTTAAAAAGTGAAACTTTATATTTGGAATTTGTTCTGTAAAATCCCACACAATTTGGACTGTGAGAGCCTGGACGGCTCTCCTGCCCCATCACAGCACAGACTGGATGAGCTTGGAGCTTGGATGAGCTGTTGGCAAAATGGGTGCAGGTAAGATAAAAAAGAAAAAAAAAAAAAGCCAAACCAAAATCCACTTCTTTTTGAACTGGCAAATGGTATGGAATTCCTGGGTGACACCTGTGTAGAGAGTGTTGTGCTCATGTTTGTGCTGAGTCCCTGTCCCACTGCACACAGTAGTGCAGGTGCAGAGGTGCAAGTAGGAGCCAGAACAATGTTTCTCCACCACTGCTCCCACATGGTTTATCCCAAGGTGCATTAAGGATATGCCTGTCCTAAGCCAGGATAGTAAAGTGAAATACAGAACTAACTGGCACTTTAATGACTTCTTGCCACCTTTGGCTTGAAATGAAATGCACATGGATACAGACGCGCTTTCCAGTCCCATGCTGCCCCACTAGTAACAAATAGCGATTGGTTCCTTAGTTTTCTCAGATATGGATCAAGACAGATTTGGCAGTAAAATGGAAGGTAATTGAGTGTTGTCTCCTTTTGATTTTCTTCCTTTCCACTTTGCCCCCAATTTATTTGCCTTTGTCTTCCTAATTGCTGGGAGATTATTATGTCTGAATCATCAGACTTGAAGAACTGTATGCCATTTGCCCTTAAATGACGGCTGAAATGTTTATCTTTATTGTTGTAGGGAGACTGATATCAGCATCTGCAGGTCAATTTAAGATAATTTGCCTTCTGACATTTTTGATGGACCATCAATGAGAGCCAGCTGGTGCAAATCCTGATCCTTTGGTGTGGTGGGCAAAGAAGAGCAAACAGGTTCTTGTAGCTTGCCATCAGGCAGCTCCAGGATCCTTTCTCTCAGTAAAGACACCACCTTCCCCATGGAAGGTGTGGAGGGAAATGACCTATCTATAGAATCATAGAATAGTTAGGGTTGGAAAGGATCTTAAGATCATCAAGTTCCAACCCCCCTGCCATGGGCAGGGACACCTCACACTAAACCATGACACCCAAGGCTCTGTCCAACCTGGCCTTGAACACTGCCAGGGATGGAGCATTCACAGCTTCCCTGGGCAACCCATTCCAGTGCCTCACCACCCTAACAGGAAAGAACTTCTTCCTTATATCCAACCTAAACTTCCCCTGTTTAAGTTTTAACCCTTTACCCATTGTCCTTTCACTACAGTCCCTGATGAAGAGTCCCTCCTCAGCATCCTTGTAGGAGCCCTTCAGATACTGGAAGGCTGCTATGAGGTCTCCACGCAGCCTTCTCTTCTCCAGGCTGAACAGCCCCAGCTTTCTCAGCCTGTCCTCGTACATGAAAGTAATGAATTAAATAAACTCCTTTAGAAAGACTTCAGTGTCCTACTCTGCTCTGGAACATCTTGGCAAATGTGACCATGGTAAAGGGTTGCAGGAAGTATTTCTAAAATGCCTGGAGCTTTAGGATAGGCAGAGATTTAGTAGCAACAGGCAGGAGAAGGATGCAGTTGGGAATAGCTTACTTGCTGATGTGAAAACAGCTGTAGGAGAAGGGGGATGAGGATTACCCTTTGAATTTGGGAGTTCACAAAGATGCTGAAAGGTCCAGCTGGCCAGGTGGAGCTGTACATGTTTTTGTCATCTGACCATAGTCACTGTGCCTTTTGTAGAGATCCTCTTCAGTGAGCACACGGAGGGAAGAATCCATTTGCAATACACAGACTATAAAGAGAGCTGTGCAAGTCAAGTCGAGCTCTCTGCAGTGAGAAATGCTGCATGTCTGCTGCAGTCATCAGTACAGGCATACTAGATTCCTTGGGAAAAAAATGCAGGAATGCTCACTTTCTCAGTT